CCCGGAAGAGGGTATGCCTGCAAGAGGGCTGGACCTGGAAGAAGGTTCGAACCGTACTTACACGGGCCCATGAGGTTTGACCGGTATCGGGGAATCAGCCGGTACCGTCAAATTGATTGGGGACTAAAAGATGCCCATTAAAAGAAATAGAAGGGGATCGTCCACCGTGGCGCATCCTGTTTCCCCCTTCTCAGGGAAGACTTGAACGGGGGGGTGAGCTAAGGCCTTCCCGGGATAGTAGAAATTAAAGGGCCATTAAAAGACTTAATCACCCGGAAGAGGGGGCCCTGGAAGAAGGGTGCATTTGAACCTTGGAGAGGGTTCGAAACCATTCGACATGGTTAAATCTCCAGTATTCTTACCGGTTAAGAATACTTCAAGAATTACTAGGTTACAGGTGTTTCCATCTACAACCTACCGGTCAAAAAAAAAAAGAAAAAGAATACCCCGATGGGGTGTGGGCATAACAGAACTTTGAAAGTTCTACAAGGCAAGGCAGTTGACCGGTCAGACCATGGAAACTGTTCAAACAATTCACTGGAAACACGGAGGTATCCAAAAGCCAAAGTAAAGTTCAGCCGGTTCACTCTAGTTCAACCAGGTTGGACTTAGCGTATTCAAAAGTAAGCCGAGAAAGCGAAAATTGAAGTTTGACCGGTCCAAGTTACTCGGGCTGATCCTTGAGATAAACTGATCCGAGAGAACTTTGAAGTTCTGCCAGTCGGAAACAATTGAGAAGTGGTCTGATTTATTTACCGGTCAGAATTTATAAGGAGTAAGAGCAAAGTATAAATCAACAAGCAAGCAGATATGGAAGATTAACCGGTAAGGGAATTAAACATGGCATTCAAACGGAACAAGAATGTTAAATGTTTACAGATACACCGGGCATTCCCGGGAAATGAGTTCGAAGTTTTACAAGATAATTCAATCGGGCGCAGCCGGGGAGATCAGTCAAGGGGAAAAGGGGGAGTTGGCTCTTCCTCTGGGATGGGAGCCAGGCCGTAGGAAGCCGCGGTGAAGGCCGGGTCTCTCTTCAAGAGGATCCGGTGGGAGGTTGCCCGGTCTTTCTTCTGGCCGCTTTTGAATCTGAAGGACCCAATTGCCATTATCATCTTCTTTCCTTCAGGCTCCCGGTATAGAAGCCTGAAGGATTCCATGGTGGCCTCTGGGCTCGCTGTCAGCACCCGGGCAGCTTCGGCCTTGTTTTCCTCAACCCAGGCAGCTGCGCGCCCGGGGAAGTTTTCTTCCTTCTCCGCCATCTCCCTTTTTGTTTCGGAGACCTCGTCCAGCAGCTGGCCGTTCTCCTCCTTCAACCGGGTGTTCTCTGCCCCAAAGGACCTGGCCATCTTTGACAACTTGGCCAGCTCATCCGTTTGGCTCTTTAGGATGAGGGCCAGCTCTCCGTTCTTCTTCTTCAGCCTGGCCACCTCGGTTGGAGAGTCCATTCCTAACCGGTCGGCGGTGATGGGCCCAATCTCCCCAACCTGAACAACGTACAACAACCTGGTTAATCTTTGTGTAACGTAAAGGAAAAGATGATCGGTTATGAGAGATGACTTACCTCCCTCAACCGCAGACCGAGGTTGATGTATGCTTCCTCCACGGTCTGATGGGCCGCACCAGGATCTGTCCTCTGCCTCTTGTTCATGGCAGAGGGATGGTTGGTGGCCACCTTCTTGGTCCGACGACCGGTCTTCTCTTTTTCCTTACCCTTAGACCGGTAGTCTTGCGGTTCGTCCTCATCCAAAATCTCCACGGTCTCTTGATTGACCGGGAAGGTTTTGGTAGGGTTGGCCTGGGAGCCCCCAGTTTCTCCCGCTGGTTGGTCATCGGGAATGGCAAACTTCTCGAACTCCATATCTGCAGAAGAAACTAAAACCGTTAAGTACAAGGAACGGTACCGGTCAACTACGAATCATAAGAAAAATGAGAAATACCTGGGTGGTTTTGGCCCTCAGCCTCTGCAGTGTTGCCCGGGGAGGGTACCCCGCGCCCCGCTGCTTCATGGGCTTGGGAGGTACCCTCACCACCCGATTCAACCCGCCAAACCCAGCTCCCATAGTGGAAGACCCTCCCGGTGTATGGATCGCCGTACATAAGGATTTCAAGACTTGCTTCCAAGTCAGGGGAGGAAGCCGGTGCAGCGTCCTCTTGATCGAGAAGATGGTCATTCCATTTTAGACCGGCAAAAGGAGTGACGAAGGGGGGAAACTCGATGAAAACAAATTTTTCCTTCCATCTCCGGTTACTCTGGGGGACTTCGGAAATGAACTTCCTACCGGTACGGGCATTGAAGAACACAAAACCTTCGCAGCCAAACCCGCCCGGTAGGACTTCAAAGCAAAAAAGAAAAAGACGCAAGGAGGGATCGATTTTCTGGTGAGAGCAAATATTTACAAAGGAATGGAGGTACCGGTGGGCGTTAGGAGTTATCTGGCCGGGTAAAATCCTAAACGCATGGCATACTTCGGTTAGGAGGGGGGCGAAGAGGAAAAACGATGCCCGCATCTAGGGAAATTGTGTGGAACCCTATCTTATCCTCCCGGTGGGGTTCAACAATGTTGGGCCAGTTATGCTCATACAGAAGTGTATACCCATCCGAGAGCCTCATACGGATTTTGTTCTAGGCAATTTTGGATACGTGGGAAGGAATGTCGAGGACGTAGAAGGTGGGGAGCGGAAAGTAACCGGCGGCATGGAGGCGTTCCTCCCACGCGTCCCGGGTTTCGTTTTCAGGGTCATAGGGACCCGGTTCATCATCAACCGGCTCATCCCTTCCCATAAAAACTTCACCGGGCATCTGATTAACAGGTTGCGGGTCGGGGATATAGGAGTTGGGAACCTGACCGGGCATGGAGTCAGGAGAAGAAGACCCGGTCGAGGAAGATGAGTTGGAGTCCTCAGAGGAGAAGTCCTCTGAGGACGAAATCCTATCGCTAAAAGAAGACATAACCGGGAAGGAAAGTTGAGATCGGAGGAAAGCTTACTTGACTCGGAGGGCTGAAAAGCGAAAGAGAAGGAACTTGCCTGGTGAAAGCTCTGAGACTTGATCGCGGAAAATGAACAAAGAAGAGAGGTGAAGGCCTTTATATAGGAAGAGGAGGGCTGAAAGGAGCGAAGTGGCCTCTTCAGGTTGCGCCGCGTCAGGCGGCGCAATGATGACCCACTGGCAGGTGAAACGACGGGTCTGCAGCCGACTGATTGCAACGGTTGGTGCGCAACACGTGGCAAAAATCAGAGTTTAAAGTTCAAATTTCAAAAATTTTAGGCGGGAAGAGCCAAAATTTCAAAATTAAAGTCCTATTTCAGATTTTTTTACTTCCCGCTCATGACAGATTGCATGACCAAGAAGTGGAGGGCTTATTGATGGGTGTATTCCACCCACGACCGGTCAAAGGAAGAGACCAATTAGTTGACCGGTCAATCTCGAAAGTCTTGGAAGGGAGACTTAAATCGTCAGCAAATCGATATGTAATCGGCCAAAAGATGACCGGTATACTTCACGAAAAAGTATACCGGTTAAACTACGTTTTCACCTTATTTATTCCCAAACTTCGATGAATTCATCCCTCGGAGATTACCCGGTGTAGTTTCTAGGGTTGGAAAGTGTCGGTAGAAGAGAATCTAAGAGGGCTTGGCGTGTAGCGACCCATGTCAGTAGAGGACAACTGGAGATGCTGAAGAATCCATCCAAGGCACTACTCGACAAAGGGAATAACCCCCCTCACAAGGCGAGAAGGCAGCTCAAGGACGAAACCAGTCACCTCGCCCCACATCAGCAGCATGCCCCCACGTGGGCGCACGTGGTCTTGTCCCCCATAGCCTAGTATAAATACTCATGTAAACCTCAGAAAGGGGGATCCGAATTCACTCTCTCTAAAACTCCCTTGTAAAAGCACCCATGCATTCTCCATTATAATATAAATTGGGCTACAGGTGTTCCACCTAAAGTCCTACCGGTCAATCTACGTGTTTTTACCTTTTTTACTTTATCAAATCAAGCAAACTATTCTAGACCCGGTCTGGTATAGTTTGACCGGTCAAGTAATTTACACCATCAACTTTGTTGGCCTATTTTTGTATCTTGTTTGATAAAATAATATAGTCATGTCACCACTAGTTTTGTAGATCTTTTCATGTAGTTTTTAAATATGTAATTTTAATTTTTTAATTCCATACCATTTTTCATATAAAATGATTTGAAAATAATTTCAGTCAAACATCGTAACGCGCAATGAGAACTTTATTTGTGGACGGAGGAAATATCTTTTTTTATGTCACACTATTTCTTTAATTAATACTAGTATACTACTTCGTAATATTGTGAGACTTACACTCATTCGAGGGTAATAATTTTTTTAAAAATTTATTTGAAAGGCAAAGTTAAAATAAATAATCTAACATTATACCATTCAAACACAATTATCATCACATTACATTTCCTAATTACTTTGTAATTCTTATAACATTTAATACCTTTTTAATCTGAGTTTGTAATTAAGATTGTACTTCCTCCATCCGGCAAAAAACTTTACTTATTCTCTTTTCTTTCATTCAAAAACATTTAATCATATATTTTCACTTTTCAATACCTTTTTTCTAAATTGATTTTTATGAAATTGGTGTCGTATTTATTGTATATCTAACATAAGTATATTTAAAAATGTTGTCACACAGATTTTTTAAAATATTAAAATGAAACGTTGAAGTTTTTGCGAAACGACACAATATCTCACCTTCATTTCACGTATAATACTTTATTAATTATACTATATGGGGAAATATGGAAATTAAATTCCTTTATTATACTGTGTATATGCTTAAATCTCTATAATTCTTTCTCTGTCAAGAATAAATAGAGATGGAAGCATTAATATATTAATTATTTTAAAAATTGTACATTGACTTTGTAATGGTAGCTGAAAATTGTTTCAGAACACGGACAAGTTTTTTTAAAAAAGTTATGAAATCACTTTATTTTATTATTATTTTATTCACATTGATGATGATGATACTAATAATAAAAGTAATTATATTAATAATATGAAAAATAATCCAAAATAATTATATTTTAGGTCATTGTTGAAAGAAATTAGAATAATTTGAAAGAAATAGGAAAAAGTTGAAGAAACTAAAAAAGATTGGAAAATATTAAAATTTAAGAGTTAGAGTCCAATAAAAGTATAGAACATAATCTAATTATAAATGAAAAAGAAAATAATGAGTAATTATTGAATAAGAATATTATTATTATTATTAAAGTAATCAAATCAAAATGTGGAATAACGAAAGCGTAGAATGAGATTGGGGAAACTTTGCAGTTTTAGAAAAATAAAGAAAACTTATTAATTAATCATACGTAAGAGTATTATGCAACATAGAAGTACATATACCCGGTATCAATTAGTGATACCATCAAGGAAATAAACATGTCTTTGGAAATATTCACCACAGGAAATCACGACTTTTGAAAAGGATTGAGGGGGTCCAAAGAAAGTTGGCAATGCATCATGATGTGGGTCTAATTAAGCTAAATAGGAGGCTTAAAGAGGAGCTGAGTAATACACTTAGACAAGAAGAGTTGCTTTGGTTTCAACAAGCTAGGGAGGAATGGATCAAATCTGGTGACCTCAATACTAAATTCTACCATAATGCAACTAGAATTAAAAAGGTAAGAAATAGTAACATTACCATTGTGTCTGATGATGGGCAAGTGGTGGCGGACAAAGCTTCAGCCAGAACTTTGATTATTAACTTCTTTAAAAATATCTTTAAGAGAGGGGGAAATGATTCAAATCTGGAGATGCCTCGAAGTAGATTCCCTACGTTGGATGCAGAAGACACTTCCATGCTCAATCAGCCTTTCAATGCAGAGGACGTTAAGAGAGCAATGTATGATATGAGTCCATTTAAAGCCCCGGGACCAGATGGGTTTCACGCTGGATTTTAGCAAAAACAGTGGCACAATGTGGGTGGGAATGTGGTTGATCATACTCTAAGGTACCTTAACACAGGTTACATGCCAAGTGGGTGCAATGACTGCCATCTTACCCTCATTCCTAAGGTTTGTGGCCCTTGCAAGGTAAGTCAACTTAGACCGATAAGTCTTTGTAATGTTATCTATAAGGTCATTACAAAGACTATGCCTAATCGTATCAAGAAGGTGATGAATAAACTGATTGGACCGGAGCAGAGTAGTTTTGTTCCCAACAGACAAATTACTGATAATGTCATTATCTACCAGGAAGTTTTACATTCTATGAGGAAAAAAAGGAAATAAAGGAATTATGACAGTGAAAATTGACCTGGAAAAAGCGTACGATTACATTAGATGGGAATTTCTAGAAAACACTCTTCAAGAAGCAGGGTTCAACTCTACCTGGAGGCGTAATATCATGGGATGCGTACAAACAGCTAGACTTGCTATCTTATGGGACGAAGGCCGATCAGAGTGGATTACACCAGAGAGGGGGGTGAGACAGGGAGATGCTATATCCCCTTATCTTTTTGTTTTGTGCATAGAGAGGCTTAGCCATATCATCAAGGATGCAGTTGACCAAGGAAAATGGAAGGGCGTCAAACTCTCTAGGCATGGCCCGATTCTCTCTCACATGTTTTTTGCTGATGATATTGTTCTTTTTGCAGAAGCAACTGTCGAACAAATGAAGGTTTTGATGGCATGCTTGGAGAAGTTCACCACAGCCTCAGGGCAAAAAATTAGTATAAGTAAGACAAGTGTCTTCTTTTCACGCAATGTGGATAAGAACCTGGCTACGCAGATTTTGGATGTCGCTGGGTACCAAAAAGCTGATAACTTGGGAAGGTACTTGGGAGTCCCTTCCATCCATGGCAGGGTCAGTCCTAATCTCTTCAAATCAATGCTGGATCGTATGAATCAAAGACTTGAGGGATGGAAATCGAAAGACCTTTCATTTGCTGGTAGACAGGTATTGGCTCTTTCTGTTTTAAATACTATTCCCTATTATGTTATGCAATCAACCCTCCTTCCTGGAGGAGTCTGTGCCATGATTGACAGGAAAATCAGAAGCTTTATTTGGGGAAGCTCTGAAGACAAAAAACACATGCATCTTGTTAAATGGGATATAATTACACAACCAAAGAAGAGAGGTGGACTTGGTATTAGACGAAGCATGGATATGAATATCAGTTTCATAGCAAAACTTGGGTGGAAGATCCAAACAGAACCTAATCAACTTTGGGTGAAGGTTTTGATGGCCAAGTATGCTAATGGAGAAGAAGGGATTCATAACATAAAACCAAAGGCAGGAGCCTCTAATGTCTGGAGGGGTTTGGTTAAGGCAAAGCAGGTTCTCCAAAGAGGCATTAGTATGCAGATTGGTAATGGGCAAAAGACTTTATTTTGGCACGATAGATGGATAGATCAGACTTCTTTAAAAGATCAAGTGCCTTTAGATAGGCAGGTCCACATTAATGAAGGCAAAGTCGCAAGCATGTGGATACCAGAAGTCGGGTGGAATTGGGAGCGAATCGGGGACCTGCCCGACGACCTTAAGAATAAACTAACCTGCTGTTATATTACAGATGATGAAGATGAATGTTACTGGCAACCTAGTGCGACAGGTAAGTTTTCAGTGTCTTCAGCATATGAACTTACTAATATAGATGGTTTAGATATGCAGGATACAGGGTGGGTTAAAATTTGGAAACTTAAAATTCCAAATCGAATACGGGCATTTCTTTGGCTTGCAAGACATGAAAGACTTGCATGTAACGCAGAGCGCTATAGAAGGCATCTTGCTGAAGCAGATACATGTCCTTCATGTGTGGACAAATCTGAGTCGGTGGAGCATATCATCCGTGACTGCCCGAATATTAAGAGAATATGGAACAAATTGCTAGGCACAAGCATAGTGCAGGGGCTTTCAAATCATAATTTTAGACAATGGATGGATGATCAAGTTGCAGGGAAAGTTAGAACCCCCTATGCCCATGAGTGGCCAGTGATCTTTGCTACCACATGTTGGGGGGCGTGGAGGTGGCGGAACGATTATGTTTTTAAGGACATGGAGTATGATGTTGATGAAAAACTCACATGGATTTTTAACCAAAAAGATGATATCTTGAGAGCTTTTCATATTCAGAGTATTATTGACAACTCACAAGAGGAAGAATGCATGATACAAGTTCGTTGGCAGAAACCAGACAATGACACTTTCTGTTTGAATGTGGATGGGAGTGTGGATGGTACAGGTGCAAGCTGTGGAGGAGTGCTTCGAGGACATGATGGAAACTGGATAGGAGGCTTTATGTGCTCATGCAATACTAAGCATCCAACAGTTGCCGAAGCGTGGGCTGTGCTGCAGGGGCTAAAGTGGGCATGGAAGAAAGGTTTGCGAAAGCTGATTGTCCAATGTGATTCTTTAGAGTGTGTTGAATGGATTCATGGTAGACACACTACAAGAGGTCCGGCACGCGAAGTGATTGAGGCATGTCAGAGTTGGATGGGAAGAGATTGGAATGTTACCATCTGTCATATTCTAAGGGGTCAGAATAAAGTCGCAGACTTACTTGCCAGAATGGGAAAAAACAGAGCGTTGATTTGGAGAGAGTTAGAGTTCCCACCGAATGGTGCACGTCAATTGCTAGAGGAGGATAAGCTGGGGTACTATACAGTGAGGAACCTTTCTTGAGGTTCTGAGGTTGTTACCTCTCCAGTTCGATTAAAAAAA